TGGAAGATTGCCTAGTTTGAAACTAGTGAACAAATTTACCAAGGTTCTTCCTGAGCCTCGCGCCAAAAAAAGCAACAAACAGACTAGCTTGGAAATATTGGAAAAAGTAACCAGAACAAGATACAGATTAAAGGACACAGTCAAGAGATGGTGATTGAAAAATACATCTATAAAAATAGCTGGAGCTGAGGAGAATGAAAGATAGTTTCCAGATGACTGTGGCATCATTATGGGTGGTCTCTACAGAAATAAATAGCTGAAAAGATTGATGTGTCTTGGAAGAGAATTCTTAAGGAAAGTAAGTAAACATGGGTGCATGACATACATAGTTTTAACACACTTGTAGTTACTTTGTTTAATTTGTTCTATATACAATAAAGATTGTGGTTTGATAAAAAAAAATTGAATTCAAATTCCACAATCTGCTGTAGTAGGATTGAAATCCAGGTCCCCAGAATGTTACCTGAGTCTCTGTACTAATAGTTTTGCAATAATACCACTAGACCATCCCCTACCCTGCAGTCATTTATCATTTGTAAGTCGTCAGAGATCTGCAAGAAGTGAATTAAATTTTCTGGTTAAGGTAAACAGCAGATGTATGGGACAAATCAAATCTTCAGTACAAGAAATTGAGCAATAAGTGGGTAAGAAAGGAGACTGGTGAGTAACATATAATCTTTACGTTTCTCTGACATTTGGAAAAACAGTGAGAAATGAAAAGAAAGTCTTTTATAGAAAGGGCACATCAGTGGGTTCCTTCCAGAGAAAGGAAAGGACTCAACTTACGTTATTGAAAAATCTCATGGCATTAATGATTAAAATCTAAATTTGCTTTGAAATCACACGAGACTAGTGGCTCCTTACAACTTCATGTGTGGTGCTTTTACCCAATGAGCCATCAAGGGAAGTCACAAAGTAAAGATTAATGCCACACCACACCAACTTGGGCAGTCCCAGTAACCAATTATTAGCTGCCTAAATCCCATTCTTTTCGTCACATCTCTCAACACTATTAACTTCGTCTCAAGCTTAGTCATCCCTCCCAACCTCTCTTCCTTTGATTCAGTATCCTTTTCCCTCACACTTCTGTATACAATTTTGGGATGTTTCTGTATGTTAAAAGCATCACTACTATTTATGTTTGAAAGCATTGAGCATTAACTTGTGAAAGATTAAACTTAATAATAATTGAAATAAGCAACCCAACATTCAGACCCAATTCTTCCAGGTTACTAACTCTGTGGAAGTGGCAGGCCCCAGGGTCCAGTAATTAAGATGCATTTGCTGCCAAAGAAACTGTAATGCTAATTGAAAATACTTCAAAGGGCTATTAGGCCATGAGTACTTCTTACACAGTGCAGAATCAAGGGCTTAAGGAATTGATTATTGTGAGCTTGGAGAGTCTGTTCATTTACAGTCCAGTACAAACACCCAATTGAAGTTAATAAAAATTCAACAACCAGAAAATCCCCTTTAGCTATTGCAATGCTACAACAGATTGAGCAGAAACATTCTACATTGAGACAATTGGGTGAGAAGAGTTGAGTGGAACCGACATGAATCACAGCACATAATAACTCTGTGGAGGGAATTTTTGGATGCAGAGACATTTAGTTTGCCACACTAACCTTGAGGAGTTGTGAATTATAAAGGACGAGAATCCTACATTTAAATTAAAGCAATTAATTTCAAAGGAGTTTCACTTGTACCTTAGAAATGCATTATAGCCACATGAATCTGGAATATAGAGGTGTAGACTTCTAATATAATGCAAGCATGTTACATTTATAATATGTGCATCCATGTCAATTCACGTGCTCTGTGTTATAAAGCAATTATCAGTTGGGTTTGGAAAGTTGCTCACTTGCACTTGCTAAAAGCTACATACATTTGTATGTAGGGCCATGTCCTTTGTAAGCAGAGAGAATTAAAAGCACATAGACAATAATTCCCTGGTGTATTCTTCATGACAGTGCACTTGCGTCGACTGGCCAACAAATCAGCACTGTTAGTTTCTGGTATGAGTTCTGTGCAAAGGTTGCTATTTTTAAAAAATTCAATTATGGGATGCTGGCTGGCCAGCATTTATTGCCCATCCCTAGTTGCTCTTGAGGTTGAGGTGGTGGAGGGGGGGGTTGCTGCATTTTTGAATTGCTGCAGTCCATATGCTGTAGATAGACCCACAATATCCTTGGGGAATGAATTCCAGGCTTTTGACCGAGTGAAGGAATGCCAATGTGTTTCCAACTCAGGATCGTGTGCAGCTTAAGAGGGGAACTTGCAAGTGGTGGTTTTCTTATGGATGTGCTGCCTTGTCTGTCTAGGTAGTAGCCATCGAGGGTTTGGAAGATGATAAGAACCTTTGGTGAATTTCTGCAGTGCAAATTGTAGATGGTACACAATGCTGCTTTTGAGCATCATTGGTGGAGGGAAAGGATGCTCGTGGATGATGTGCCAATCAATCAACTTGTCCTGGATAGTGTCAAGCTTCTTGAGTGTAGTTGGAGCTGCACACATCCAGGCAAGTGGGGAGTATTCCATTATTGCCCATTTGTGTCTTCGGCAGGCTTTGGGGAAATCAGGAGGCCAGTTACTCGCTGCAGTATTCCTACACTCCGGCCATGAAGTGCGTACTTGGAACCGTTGCAGTCCATTGGACTAGATACACCCACAGTGATACTAGGAAAGAACTTCTCAAATTTATAACTATCCTGCAGAATAACCATTTAGTCTTTACGTGGGGTACACTAGTAGCAGCCCATTATCTTTTTAAACAATTGCAGGATCTAAAAAAAAGATGGTGGCCTGTTTGCAGCTGCAATACCTTACAAAAGTAAGTACAGCTGTTATCTATTTTGGGTTAAGCATCCATGATCACCACCCATTTTTGCAGTAAATCCATTTCAGTTTCTTTTCAATGATAACCCCCAAATGTTGTTAATGGGGAATTCAATGTCAATGGATATTGTGTAAATGTTCATGGTTGGAGATGGTCATTGCCAGGCATTTGTGTGCTGCAAATGTTACTTGCCACTTATCCGCCCAGGCCTGGATGTTATCCAGATTGTCGGAGATAGCAGAGCTCACATTCCAGGTTCACTTGGGTGCTGAAGTGTCACTGGATCCAAAACATTAACTCTGCTTTCTCTCCACAGATGCTGCTAAACTTTTTGAGTTTTCCCAGCAACTTGTTGATTTCTGATTTCCAGCAACTGCAGTTGTTTTTTAAAAATTATCCAGATCTTATCACATTTGAACATGGCTGCTTCAGTTGTGTATTGTATAAAAATTGTCATTTTTGAAACTTGTAAAATAATGTTTTGGAGTTAGGGTTTAAAACTTTTGAATGCATTAAGTAGATAGATCAGAGTATTCTATTTTAGTCTATTTTTGCTTAATGAACTTGTTTTATGTTAAAATAATGCAGAACATTGCATTGTTGTCTCAGAGAGACCACCTTGTTAAAACATTATTTAACAAACGAGACTGGAGTCTGCAATCAACTTGTTCTTAAATGACAGCAGTCAGGATCATAACACTTCATCTGAGATTTAAGAATTTTGGGGCCAAAGTCTTAGAAAGCCACAGACATAGCCAGTTATGTTGCCAAAAAGCAAGTTTGTTCACAGAATACAGACATTGCTAGCTAGACCAACTGTACCAAGCAGTAGCCATGAAGTGCGTACTTGGAACCGTTGCAGTCCATTGGACTAGGTACACCCACAGTGATACTAGGAAAGAACTTCTCGAATTTATAACTATCCTGCAGAATAACCATTTATTCTTTATGTGGGGTACACTAGTAGCAGCCCATTATCTTTTTAAACAATTGCAGGATCTAAAAAAAAAGGACTGTGGACTGTTTGCAGCTGCAATACCTTACAAAAGTAAGTACAGCTGTTATCCATTTTGGGTTAATCATCCATGATCACCACCCAGGAAAAGTTCAAAGCCAATCACTATTAAGATCCATCTTTCTGCTCCCAATTACTATCCTTGAACGTCTTGACAACAGCACTTAAAATATACCATATTCCATATTCTGATTACTCAATTCTACGACCACTTCCAATCTCTTCACTGCTCATCATTTACTAAATGTTGGGCAAGACAAAGTTTCCCTCTATCTAGTTATTGGTACTCACAGCAATGCCTTCAATTCCCACCGTAAACTGTTGTACAACCCACTGCAGTCAGCCTTCTCTCTGGCAACCCAAAACACCATTTGCAACCTTGACTATTTTATTTATTTAGATAAGATTCAATCATTCCATCACTAGCTGTCTACTACTGTACCTGTCAAGTGTCCCTCAACATGTGCCAAGACCCTCATTCATGACTTTTCTTGTATATTTGATCATTCAGCCTTCCACTGCAAAGCTTCATTGCCACATCTGAACTCACTCCATACCATGTTCATTCATGATAAGCATGCCTTTATACTTCGGTTCTTGGTCCGGATATTAACATTTTCAAATCCCTCCTGTGCTCTCTTTAAGCTCAATAGCAATAGACCTTTATTTCTTTTACAAACCAAATCTGCTAGGTTTCAAATCTTGATTTAAAAAAAAAAATCATGCAATTGGCTACATCTTCTGTTGTCTAGGTAGGTTTAACTCAGAGATAACATCAAGCTTGACAGGATTATTTGAAACTGAAAGGGACTGGAAATGGTGGTTTTAATGGAGAGGGAAGGAGGAGCAAGTGAAACAGATTGCAAGGATTTCCACAGCAGGAGACAAAGGTGACGCTTATGCTAGCTTAGTAGTGGTAGAGAAGTAAAATGGATGCAAATGAATGTGAACAGGGAGAATAAAACGATCCAGTCTTTGTTTCAGATTTCCAACATTTGCAATACTTTGCATTCATTAACATCTTCTCATAAAATGTCCACATTTAGATCAGTCAATGTAAATTAAAATGCAGCACTCAATTCTAACCAACCAAGCCATTCTCTCTATAGCATGCCATCAACAGCAAAATGAGACACTTGCCAAGTGTACAGGAAAACTCCCAATTTATTTATGTAAAATATACAGATACTACACATTAACGGTAGCGACGGAGCTGCAGTGTATTGCGTCTTCTCCATGCAGCACGACGAGAGCCTCCAATAGTAAGATGGTATTTGTGACCTTTGCCCAAACCGCGACTCTTCTTGCCAGCAGATGTTAGGCCACGCATCTCTCTGTGCTTGTGTACAGGCTTTGTGATCCATTGAGTATCAGGGTTGCGACGGATCGCTTTGTGGAATGGATCAATGAGAACAACCTCAAAGAACTTGTATGTGGCATCTTCACCTACCCAGTACGAGGCGAGCACTCTCAGCCCTCCACAGTGTCGACCAGCTCGCTCCTAAAACAATGAAACAGAAGAACAGTCAATGCAACACATTCAAACATTGAATTTGCAAACACAACATTATATCCAAATATTCAAAGACAAGGTCTAAACTTTAGACCAACTGAACTATTCAGGCAAATGTAGGCACACAACATCTGGTTGCATGAATTTCTCAAAAAGTTGCACCCTTTGAGCAATAACTTATGATGGACACCAGCTCCAGAAAACTTTGTTTACGCCAAGTTTAATCTTGTACTGTTCTCCTTTACATATAAATTTACAAAGTAATTTCTAAACATAACATCCCAAACTATCTGCCAAAGGAGAAACTCCTATTAATTTTGTGGAATGTGTCCATGGAGTGGATCTCTTTAAAATGCAGCTGCTACTCAGTTATAAGACAACAAAGTTAGACTCCGCACAAGGCCAAGACAAATTTCTACGATTTTCCATCTGTAACACAGAGTACATTATATAGCACTGCTCTACTTAAGAGCACACCTAATGGAAATTCAAAACCTATGGTACATTTGAAGTTTGAAACCTATAACTTTCAAGTAACAGTATCAATTTTTTTAAGCTAAAGTGAAACTTAGGTCATTAAGAATATTGAAGACTGAAAGAGATAGACTTTTTAATCAGTAAGGGATTCAAGGGTTATGGGGAAAAGGCAGGAGTAGAGGATTATTGGGTCAGCTACGATCTCATTGAATAATAGATTTGATACAACGGGCTGAATGATCAGCTTCGGCTCTTACAACTTGTCAAACACTTAAATAGTGACTAGAGGACAATTTAAATTTTAGCATCGGCACAAACCATTTTTTTTTGTACCCCCTAGTTGAATAGGGTATCTGCCCCCTTGCTACAGAAAGCTGAAACACCTATATTCAAATCTATACATTTGAAACTGCAGATGAACCTTCTCTATGCGAAGCTGGGGAAAATTACTCATGCAGGCAATTTTGTATCATGAACTCAGTTTTTTTTTTTAAAAATAAAAAAAAGTGTTGACTACCTGGCAAGTCACTGGCACTTTTCCTAAAAAGTTTAGACAATCTTTTCCTTTGAAACAGCTGACATGATTTTAGAAATGGCGATTTATGAGCAACATCACAACTAGATGGCGTGTAGAAGTTTGCGCATGCAAAAGACAACAGAACTACACCTGAATGTAACAAAAAGTCCGTCAGTTATGCCAATATTCAAGTAATCAAACTGCAATAATTTTGTCATTAAGTTTTAAATCTAGGAAATGCATCTATTAGAGTCAGTCTGTAAATGTCTTTGCAAGTCTGTTTCCGATGACTGTAAAGTAATCTCGCCTCTATACAGAGGGTGTGATGCTGTCTGACAATTAAGCAACCTTGCATTTATTGAACCCATGGAATTTCTAACCAAAGAAATTTACAGACCCATAATTGTTGCTGTAGTTTCTCAGATCTTACAGAAGAATCAATGACCATTTAAGACCATAAGAAATATGGACAGGAGTAGGTTGTTCAAACCTGCTCCACCATTCAATAGAATGATCTGACATTGCTCATGTCCATTTTATTGTCTTTTCCCCACAATCCTCCTCTCGCCTACTGATCAAGAATCTACCCCCACCTTAAGTATACATAAAGAACTCTGCCCTCACCCCTCTGTGGTAAGGAATTTTGAAGACACTTAACCCCCACAAGAAAATCCTCATTTGTCTTAATTCAGCACCCCTTTATTCTGATTTCTGCACTGGAAACATTCAGGAATTAGGTACTAGAATCCAATGTTCATAGGACCCTCAAACAAATTAAACACATCCTAGAAAGTACATGTTAGACTGCTAGTTTTTCCTCAGTCAGTTCAGTAGCACTGATCATTCGTATAAATGCAGCTTGCATGGGAGTTGTCTGTATTGGTAAATTTCTCAATACAATCAGTCCCACAGAGTACTTGATTTATCATTGTCACATGCACCAAGATGCAGTGAAAAGTATTGCTTTGCTTTCTAACTAGTCAAATCAACAATAGTGAAAAGAATAAGAAATGCTGCCTTTCTTAAAAAAAGTTAATTTCCCCAGCGGAGGTCACCGTGAAGGTCCCACCTTGACCTTGATTCTCACCCAAAGCCAGGTGACCCTCCGGTTAAACTCACCATTAGCCATCTCTCTAGTCGAGTAGCCCCCGGTCCTGACTATGGCAACTTTAACTTTAGTTAATCCGGTTGGAACTGGGTTTATCACAACATTTCACATATTGTCCTTGAAAAAGCAGTCAAAATCCCAAGGCACTTTCGTCTCCATTAGACATCAACTGACTGAGCAACATCACAAGAGGTATCTTTCAACACTGATGGTACAGGATAGCAATCGGTTGTTCAGTTCAAAGCTAAAGCTGCAAAATTAATGTGTTGCAGACAGATTAAACACCATACCTCAGCAACAGATTGAAGGCTTCGTGCAAACTTCAACTGATTGACACCATGGTGCACTGGTTTACCGTAGGTCGCACCCTTGGGAACAGGACGTTTGCGGCCGCCACGACGAACCCGCACCCGATAGATAACATAACCTGTTAAGATTAACAAATTAACCAGTGCCTGTGAAGAACCCTCAGATGAACCAATCGTAATGCAAAGTCACTCCCCATTTCTGTAAGAAGATACGTTTAAGTACACCTTCTCTTTTCAGATGTCAACATTTTGACTTATAAGTTGCTCAATTGGGTAAACAATACCAGACAGACAGTCAAGGGTATACCACGGGAGGCCATTCAGCCTGAATCCATGTCAACCCTCTGCCACCAGTTCCAAATCTCTCAACCTACAAATTTTCTCTTTCAGATTTTAACTCACTATTTTGAAAGCCATAATTAAATGCCCATCTATCATCACATACAAAGCCTTCTTTCTCATGTTGTTTTGGTTGTTTGCGTGATCACCTCATGTCTGTGACCTCTAACATTTAGATACTGGGTCGATTTTCTCCTACCAGCATCATGAATGGCTGACGCAGTGCTTTGACCCATATGAATTACGCATACCTTTTGTACCCTCCCCACCTACTATTCAGGCTTCCCAAGATTATTGAACACTTAAATATCTTCTCTACCATGTCAAATACCAAAAGCAACCACAGCTTCTCAAAACAATCCATACCTCCAAATCATTTTCAGGATCTTTTCAATGTGCTGATATCTTCATAAATAAATAGCAATCAGACAATATTCCAGTTGAAGGTTATTATTTTCTAACTCTTGTAATGTGACTTTGCCAACAAGCCTGTAATATAGCTTATCATCAATGCCTTTTAAACAACTGCATTATCCTCACTAACCATGACCTCTTCAAAACCTCAATTCAAGTGAGTTTAATACAAACTGCCCCTGAACTAAATGCAGCTAGTATAAGTAGTTTCAGAGATAGTAGGAACTGCAGATGCTAGAGAATCTGAGGTAGCAAGGTGTAGAGCTGGATGGACACAGCAGGCCAAGCAGCAGAGGAGCAATGTGTAGATCTGGATGAACACAGCAGGCCAAGCAGCATCAGACGAGCAATTTCTGAAGAAGGATCTAGGCCCGAAACGTCAGCCTTCCTGCTCCTCTGATGCTGCTTGGCCTGCTGTGTTCATCCAGCTCTACACCTTGCTATCTCAGTATAAGTAGTTGATCATTTCTAAAACTTGCATGCAATTCACATCAACTTAGTACAGCAACATGGTCCAGACATTATCCACATGCCACTAAAGTCAGTAATGTACAATCATCAGTTTTCCAAATTCAAATGATAATATGCAAAACTAAATCAGTAACTTCCACGAAATATTTACAATTCAATAAACTATACATTTATTTCAGTTTAAAGAAGCACTATGTTACAAGCAACTCATTGGCCTCTGAAGATACAGAACTTCTGCAACCAGACTCATCTCGACATATCTTAACACTATGACAGAAGCCAATTACATTTTGAATGCATTCACTGACTCTGACAGCGTAGAGGAAATAATCAAGACGTGATGTTTCTATTCCAGCCTTGCCTGTTGGACACGCACTTTCACGGGGTTTGCAGACCTCAATGACAGCCTCGACTAGAAACCAGATACTTCAGCAACCTCCCCGCCTGGCCTTACCCTGCTTGGCCTTGTAACCCAGTCTGCGGGCCTTGTCAGGCCTGGTCGGCCGTGGAGCCCGGTGCAAAGCCGAGAGCTGGCGGTACTGCCAACAGCGGACCCGCAGTAAGAATCGCATCACGTCCGACTGCTTCTTCCTCCATAATTCCTGCATGTACTTATAGGCTCCCATCCTCGGTCAGTCTGGGGCTGGGGAAAGAGAGAGGGAGAGATCCGTTAACTATCAGCAGTGACCAGATCCCGGCCCCTGCAAGAGTCCAGCATGGCCCGGCCTGGCGGAGGCTGCTCTCCCTCCAAACTGCCGCCTCTGGCCAGAGCCGGGTCGCTGCCCCGTTCCTGAAGTACTTTAGAAACCAATATAAGAACGGCCACTGCCGCAGTGCAACGCGGATCATGCCCGCAGCACCAGACTGGACAGATGGGTGAGCTGGTCTCAGGATGGCGGCAGATGGAAGCGATCCCCCCCTCAGCCCAGAGTCACTCACACCTGCTGATGGCGGCGGCCGGAAGAGAAAGAAATCAGGCTCCGGGCCGCTTTAACAGGCCGCGTGCGTCACTTCCGGTAGCACCTACAGCCTGCAGAGGGCGCAGAGGCGATTGTGTCAGAGATGGATCACAGTCAATGTGTCTTCAGGTAAGGACAGGATGAAATATTCAATCCAAATCCTGTACCCCAGTCAATGTATCCCCATGTAAAGTCAGGGTGAAATATTCAATACAAATCCTGTACCCCAGTCAATGTGTCCTCAGCTAAGGTCAGGGTGAAGTATTCAATACAAATCCTGTATCCTAGTCAATGTATTCTCAGCCACGGTCAGGGTGAAATATTCAATACAAACCCTGTATCCTAGTCAATGTATCCTCATGTAAAGTCAGGGTGAGATACTCTATATTAGTACTGAACCCAGTCAATATATTCTCATCTAGAATCAGTGTGAAACAGTCTATACAAATACAGTATCCAATGAATATTTCCACATCTAGATTCAGGTTGAAACAATGTATATAAATACCTTACCCAGTGGATATACCCTCGCCTAGAGTCAGATTGAGACAGTCTATATAAGTACCGTTGCATCTTCGCCTAAAACCATAACGACTAGCTTAACCTCCCAGTCATTGCCCATTTCAATGCCCCTCCCCCCCAGTCCCCCTCCAACATGTCCATTCTCGGCCTCCACCAGTGTTGCAACGATTCAGAATGCAGATTTGAGGAACAACACCTTATCTTCCGTTTGACTACCCCACAACCTGGAGGCCTCAACATTGAGTTCTCTAATTTCAAGTAACCTTTCCAGCCCCACCTCCTCCCTTTCATTCCACCTACTGACCCTCACTTCCAACTACCAACCGGACTCATCTCTCCTATCGACCAACCAGGTCGTACCTACTATCGGTGTCCACCTATCACCACCATTCCACTACCCCCCTCCCCCCTCCTTACCTGCAGCTCCCCCACCCCCACATCCAGTCCTGAAGAAGGGTAACACCCGAAACATTGACTTGTCCGTTTCTCCAGATGCTGCCTGGCTTGCTAAGTTCTTCCAGCCTCCTGTTTGTCTATATAAATACCGTATCCAGTGAATATATCCTCCTCTACAGTCAGTGTGTGACAGTCTATACAAATACTGTATCAACTCAATGTATTCTCATGCAGGGTCAGGGTGAGACAGAGTCTACACAAATATTCAGTCAGTATGTCTTCATCTGGAGAGTGACGGTGAGATAGAATCTATGCAAAAACACATTCAGAACATGTGTTTGTGGTCAACTTTCTTCCCCATCAGCACCAGATAAATCTAATGTTTTGTCCTTGCAGATGTTACTCAGACCTGCTGAGTTTCTCCAGCAATTTCTATTTTTGTTCCTGATATATCTAGTCAGTCTTTATATTTTCACCTGGAGGCAGGATGAGACTGTATTAACAAATGTAGTGTTGCTTTTTGAAGCAGTGAAGGAGAGAGTTTGAGACTGAGTGGCACCTAGAGACTTTGGTGTTAAGGAAAACCTGCCTGGCAAGCCCTTTGTTTGGTTAGCAGCGGGTTTGTGTCAGGGTCGCACAGAGAGAATCATTCAGAGCCTGCAGATGGAACGTATTTAATTCTCTCTCTGTCTGTCTTGGTGTGAGAAAAAGACAGAAATCCAAGAAAAGAATTCTAAAAAGAAAAGTCCACCTGATTAGCTATCAAATTGAAGAATGACCATCACCATGCAGAGAACAGCATATCGACAGTGTTAAAAATGAAAGCAGACTGTGTGAGACAATTTTAAAAACTGTTGAAATCTGAACTTGTGATCTTTGGCATTTTGTTTGCACTGGCTACATGGCTGTTCTACCAAAATATTTGTGTCTATCCTTTTGTCTTTTAGTCTGTCTTAACCACAGGTGTGTGCATGCATGTGTTGGGGGGTTTTTGAAGAGGTTTATTTTAAGTCACATAGTAGCAGATTGGAAATCCTCTTTTCTCTCTGTCTTTTGTTAAAGGTAAGTATGCTACAATAAATAGAGTAATTCTCTGTTAATGATGAAAACTGGTGTGTTTCCTTTCTCCTGAATAGGAGGTAAATCAGGCAAATTGGTCATTTTGGTGGTCAAATTAGAATGTTGCACACTTTCAGACAGCTTGTGGAAATGTATGTGGCATGATTAGCAGCACAACCTTCCCAGTCAAGTTGTAACAAATGCAATATTTGTTTAAAAATGGAGAGCAATGTTATTCCAGTAACTAAAGAGCACACAGTCTAATATCAGTAGCGAATAAGTTTCTAGGAGTCTATTATAGAAGAGATTTTGTATTCACTTGGAAATACGTACATTAATTAAAGAGTCATACATCTGCATCAACCTCACACAACTACGCTTTCTAATCTCACATTACATTGTCAAATCTCACAGACTTGTACTGTTTCACCTCTTGCACTTACACTTTCTACTCACATAAATCTGCACTGTTTGGCTTCATACATCATTATTCTCTAGTGTGACACAATCTGTCATTGTCCTATCTCATACATTTGTACTGTGGCAATTTGATAAGATTGCTTTTGTAATTGAGGGAAACATTTGAATGGCAGTAAAGTTTAATGGTGGAACAATACTAGCGAAGCAATGCAGAAAGTCTAAATAGCAATCAGCTTTGTTAAAACACGTGCTGAGGACCTCATACAGAGAACGAAATGGATTGTTGCTCATCAAAGAATCAAGCGTTATGTGAAGTACATTTCACGCTTCAACCAACGTGCAAAGTGACACGTTCAAATTGCATTATCATTTGCTTAAGTTCTCTCAAGACCATCTTGCATTTATACAGTAACTTTAACAGAGATGCTACCATTGCACCACAAGAACCCTCCATTTTCCCCACAAGGCATCTATAGCAATCACCTGAGGTATCGAATTGCTGAAGATGAACCATTAAAGGCTAATTTCTGCAACAATGCGACCCTGTTTTAAGATAGGTCTCCAGACATGACCTAACCAATGAACTTATCAAATTCCAATTGGAATATATGATCATGTATGAATTACTGACAGTTGGAGAAAATGGTCACATGACAAACCAACACCTTTGTGTCTTTTAAGCATATGCATTGACTATGGACTTTAATTTGGCCAATTGATTATTCACTACGTTGTAATCCGTATTTGTGTAAGTGTGGACTTCAAGTGTTAACCACTTTCTTTGTTAAGCTCAAGAAAATTTGTCTTTTTTTAAATAATTGCAGCATGCAAACTGTTAAGTACTCACAGTTGGGAAATTTCCTTTCGAACAAAATATCTGTTGTGGTCAGACAAGGAGAGTGTGAAGAAAGGAGCCATTTGACCCCTCTTCAACTGGTTGTAAGATAGTATGGAGGTCAGGAAATGAAGTCAGTTGGCCACCTGTTCGGTAGGAATGGTATCAAGAAAACAGATGCCCAATCTGAAACTGAGCCGGAGAGGGCACATGGGGAAAGACACAGTTTTTGAGTTAAGAGAAATGCTATGGCCTGCTGGGAAAGGTGAAGGAGTAGCAGAGGGAGGGTTGAGTGGATCGTTTTAGAACTAGTAATGGAGGATTTCCATGAATTTCTCACAGTTGTTGTTAGAGGCAATAGTGGAGGGGGAAAGAAGAAAGGTTTAAGGAGACGTGTGGTCATGGAAAAATGAAAGCTGGTGTTATGCTTGCTTGTGGAGCAGTGGGTAATTTTGGCAGAGGAAACTGAGACCCAATAGCCCCTTGTTTCTAGAAGTCGCTAGGAGTGATTTTCTTTTCGGGGAAGGACAAGAAGAAAATGGGGTGTATGTAGATAGCAGATGTGAGGAGATTGATGCAAGGAAATGTTTGAAGATGACATTTTCTGTGCTTGAGAGCAAGTGAATTGAGAATGTTGGAGATGGCCAAGATATTGGGCTGGTTGAATATTGATAGAAGAGTTGATGGGAGAGATTTAGAGAGGGTAAGAGTAATTCGGATGAACATTGAGTTCACCAATAATGAAGAATTGGCCAGTGCAGCAATTAACAGAGTGCAAACAGATGGAAAAAGAATTTTAAAGGAATGCCAAGTGGAGTGAAGCAAGGTGAAGTGCAGTAATGAGTCTCCTAAATATGTCTCTGACTTACTTTCTGAGAACCTTCCTGACCTTCTGCCTCACCTCTATGACCATTCCCATCTCTTCTCGCTCAGCTGGATACTGGTGTCCTTCGAAATCTGTCTGCTCCAATGATAATCCTGCAAGATCTGACCTCCTCTCTGACAGGGGGATTCCTATCCTGTGCCCTTCACTATGCCTAGCAAAATGGCTACTGGTGAAAATGAGGGGGGATTTCTACCCAAACCATCTGTTTTGGTCTTCCCACCTCCATTTTCTCCAATTTTGCAAAATCGGGCTGATGGTGTCTCAGGCCTTTACGCTGATGTCTATTTCCATGGAAAAGATATGGCCAGCTTTGTGGACCATAAGTGATAGCAGATAAACCATGTGCTTACTGGCCCTCACCAAGGGCGTGCATGCTCAGTCTGTTCAGGACAAAGGAAAGCCTCATGTCTGCCATCCAGAAACTCATGGTAGTGCAGGAAAGTGCTCTTCGGTTCTTGGCTTGAAATGAATATGGCTGCACCATGAAATGGACAATGAAAAAAGAAGATATGGACTTTATTCAAATTGCTTCTGTTTCTAGTCCCTTGGCCCCACCATTTGCCATTCAGAATTTTATATCTCTTTCCCAATGACAGATTCTGCACTTATCTAAATTGGGCATGAATCAGGCATCTTTAAATGTCATGTGAAACAAGTATCAGATCATTGCACAGATTAAGAAGTTGTCTAATACCTACTTAAGGAATATCTGTAAATTCTTTTGGACTGAGCAAAGTATGTGCTCAGCCAGATTTGCTAAGGCTTTTTAGGTTCTCCCAGAGCTTACTGAGCCGGAAAGGAACTGTTGGACAGCCACGTGACAGGAAAATATTTCCTTTGAAACTACCTCTAGATGAAGCCTATCTGTTCCTCCAAGCTCCAGAGCTTGAACATGGACTTCTTCCAAACTGCACCATTACCACCACTATCCGCCCTGATCACCTCTCACATTCTCCTAAGACTTAGCCAGAGACTTTTACCCAGGGTGGAAATGAGGGGGCATAATTTTACAAGTGATTGGAGGAAGGTATAGGGGAGATGTCAGAAGTAGGTTCTTTACACAGAGAGTGGTGGGTGTGTAGAATGCACTGCCAGCGGTCGTAATAGAGTCAGATATATTAGGGACATTTAAGCGACTCTTGGATAGGCACATGGATGATAGTTAAATGAAGGGTATGCAGGTTAATTTGATCTTAGAGTAGAATAATAAGTCGGCACAACATTGTGGGCTGAAGGGCCTGTACTGTGCTGTAGTGTTCTTCGGTTCTTGGCTTGAAATGAAATACGGCTGCACCGTGAAATGGACAATGAGAAAAGAAAATATGGACTTTATTCAAATTGCTTCCATTTCTGGTCCCTTGGCCCCACAATTTGCCATTCAGAATTCGAGATCTCTTTCCCAATGACTGATTCTGCGCTTACCTAAATTTATCTAAAAGTTCTTACCTGTGGACTGCTGGCAGTAGTGAAGCTGAACTAAACTGATTCACTTCAAATTGGACAGTCACTTACAGATAATCAATTGGCGTCCACAACTCTCTTAAAATGTGTAGCTGTGTCCCAGATTCCAAATTCAGTTAGGTCTTAGTCATCTTGTGCCCCGCGTCAGGATGTTGATCATTCTGCGCTCAAAAACAGGTCAAAATAATGTTTAGCTCACAACTCACAGGTCACAAGGGAAGAGAAAGGGAAAAAGACAATCAAATTTACAGCCTACTGTTGATTTACTTTAAATAATGTATTACAGGGTTAATATTAGAATGGCAGAGTCTTTAAATATTCAAATAACTTTATATCTTAAGGTTTGCTTCAAATTGCAGCAAGAGATTTGAAAACCATTTTAGAAAAAAAAAGCTGGCTTAGAGGACCTGGATTTGCCTACAGCCGTGGCCATGCATTGCTTAAGAAAATGTAATAAAAGCTTTTGAAAACCACAAGTTATTTGAATCTGAATTATGTAACCACCCTCTGAGCTTCATGGTTTAACAGAGGAAATACTGAATCTAGTTTCTGTATCCCAGAGCACATTTATGATGTTCAGCAAGCATTAACCCCTACTGTGCCATTGATGAGATATCATTTTTTAAACTGAATTAAACTCTGAAGGCACTGACAAGTTTATTGTTCTGAGGCAAGTTTCCCTTGAAGTGTAAAAATGTTTCAATCTTCATTTTGCCACTTCATTTGTCTGATAAAATAGTCTTTCAGGAGGAAAGAAAAACAAGCAAATATTTTTAAAGTCAATTTTTAAAGAAGAACGGCTTAGAACAGAGAATCAGGTTACCAAAATAGTTTAAAATCATAAAAGTAAATGCATATGAGAAGAAACAAAAATATAGGAAAAGGCAAGATAGGACAAGCAAAACACATTAAAAAAAGACATTATATTTTAAATGGTTATATTTATAATGTTAGGTGAACAGTGAAGTGCCTTTAGTACTGTAATATTTTGTTTGTTGCTCATGGCTTGTGAACTGAATTCTTAAAGCAATAATCAACTGTGGTGACTGTTTCTCACAGAAGCTACTGTTACTCTAAACATTAGGCCAGTTTCTCAAGGCCAAAAGACCAATGAAATGGAGCCAACTTAACATTTAACTGAAATAAACACCAGATGAGTTATTATGTTCTTCACCCGGTGAGAATTAATGTGGGAATAAGTAGGATATTCAGCCCCTCAAGCCTTTTCTGTCCTTTCAACGAGATTATGGTTGCTCTGTCGCTCCGCTCAGTTTACCTCCCTTTGAATTTATTTCTTAACATATTTATCTAAGGAATTTTTTTTAACAAAAATCAAACCGTCTTCATATTAAAATTTTTAAGTTCTGGTATAATTCTGGTGACTCTGGATCGCACACCCCTTTAAGGCCAATTTATCCTTCTTGATTTGTATTGCCCAAAATAGAATGCACCATTTGATGTCTGACCAAGGCTCTATCCAACTGAAATATAATTTCTTCACCTTGAATTCCAGTCTACTTGTAATAAAGGCCAGCACTCCATCATCCTTTTAGGTTATTTTCTATTTATGACTATTAGCTGCTTTCTGATTTGAGTACAAGTCACTTTTCATCTCCACTATTCTTAATCTCCTAACATTTTAAAAAAATTCAAAATTGTCTTTCTCAGATTTATGTGGGTTCTACCACACTGAACTCCATTTGACACAGCCTTGCCCAGTCACATAATTTGTGTCCCTTTGTGGCTCCTTCCCCAATCCACACAATTTAACATGTCTCCTAATTTAGTGTTAACCCCAAAGTTCACTATAAAAGTCTCTATTTTTCCAACTGTTATTAACACAATACTGAGAATCTGAGGGCACCAGTTGCCACATTTCCCAAGCAGATGATGAGCCCTTTATCCCTCCTGTCTGGCATCTACCTTTCAGCCAATGATCATCATGAAGCTACCTCCAAATCCACGTGCTCTCCCTTTTGCTAACACCACTTTATAACAATGGCATGAAATTGGATCCCGTTTGTCTGTTTTCCCGTTAAAAACAGGGACACAGTTCCAATTTAGGAGCCCACCTTGCATGTCTAGACGATGTTAGAAACATTTTGGAGATGTCATAGGTTGTGTGGCCAGTAAAAACAGGCACTTGGCTCTTGAGTATTCTATCAGGTGCTTAATGTCAATTTAAAAACTGATCCATAAAATGTATTTGCCCTGAATAGAGGAGTCAGGTTTGCTACACTTGGGATTTCCTGGTCTACACGTGCCCTATCCGGAGATTCAGAAAGGAACTACCACCAAAATAGCTGTGGTGAAAAAGAGAGCAGTATCCATCTCCTGCTGGAATGTGTGTTTGCAAAGAAGGTCTGGAGAAAGATGAAGTGTTTTTGTCAACATCCATCTCCAGTAGCTCAATGACACTTTAATCTGTGCTGTAAGGTCTGTTGCCAAGGATGTAAACCAAGATTGTGAAATTACTGAGATAACAAGGTGTAGAGCTGGATGAACACAGCAGGCCAAGCAACATCATAGGAGCAGGAATGCTGACGTTTCGGGCCTAGACCCTTCATCTCCTATGCTCGGTTCGCAATAAACAACTGCATCTCCCAGTCGCGAACCATTTCAACTCCCCCTCCCATTCCTCAGATGACATGTCCATCCTGGGCCTCCTGCAGTGCCACAACGATGCCATCCGAAGGCTGCAGGAACAGCAACTCATATTCTGCTTGGGAACCCTGCAGCCCAATGGTATCAATGTGGATTTCACAAGCTTCAAAATCTCCCCTCCCCCTACCGCATCCCAAAACCAGCCCAGCTCGTCCCCGCCTCCCTAACCTGTTCTTCCTCCCACCTATCCCCTCCTCCCACCTCAAGCCGCATCCCCATCTCCTACCTACTAACCTCATCCCGCCCCCTTGACCTGTCCGTCCTCCCTGGACTGACCTATCATTGACAAGACATCATTGGGCTAGGAGGGTGTTGTAAAATTACTGGGAGGGTTATAAAAACACTGGGCTGGAGGGATTCTTATAGAATAACTGGGGGTTATATAGACACTGGGCAGTGGGGGAGTTATAAGACTTACTGGGCTGGAGGGTGTTATAAAATTATTGGAGGTTATAAAAAACACTGGATTAGGGGGTTATACGAGCAGACTGAGAATGACCAGTACAATGCCAGCAACCACACAGTCCTTGTCCTCTCCCCTTCCACCCACTCTCCTCACCTCAGACCTCCCACTAACCCCACGGGAGGTGCTGCCCAGCACCAAACTGTTTGTCTGCACTGCACCTTAGGCAATCTTAAGGCCAAACAGCAGTGCCTGGTCTCCAGTTGTCTTGGCCACTCGCCACTGGACTAAGATTTTGCACTGCTAAGCCTGCGTGGTGGCTGGAGTGCAATGGTTTCCCCACGTTAAAAGAATCTTGCACAGGCACCTTCTACAACCTCAGGATGAAGTTTGGGACCTGGAACATCAGGACCCTTGTGGACAGTCCCACCAGTGACAGACCAGAATGCCACACCGCAATCATTGCTCGGGAACTCATGGTGCTATGATATTGACGTTGCTGGACTGAGCGAAACCCACCTGACGGGGAAGGAGAGCTCAGAGAGGTGGCGGCTATACCTTTTTCTGGAAAGACAAGGCCAAAGAAGAGTGCCACATTCATGGAGTCGACTTCGCCATCAAAATGAACTGGTGGACCAACGCTGCAGTATAAGTGAGCACCTCATGACACTCCAATTCACCATTGCTTCGAACCATTATGTTACAGTATTCCGTGCATGTGCACGAATACTCGATGCAGCAGCTGAGGACGAGGAGCAATTCTGCTCCAGCCTTGAGCAGTCTCTGTCACTGGTCCCTACAGTGGAAAAAGTAGTCTCCCTCGATGACTTCAATGTCAGAGTTGGCAAAAGTGCAGACCTTTTGGGCAAAGTAATCGAGAAAGAGGGAGTTGGGAAGCAAAACTCCAACGGCATCCTTCTCCTGACTGAATGCCACAAACACAACCTCCTCATCACCAACACGCTGTTCCGCCAAAGGGACAAATACAAGACGACGTGGCAGCACCCAAACCCTGGCACCTCCTTGACTACGTCATCGTCAGAGTGAAGGATCAAAAAGATGTTAAAATCACCCATGCCATGACAGGAGCCAACGACTGCTGGACAGACCTTCACCTGATCTGAGCCAGGATCAACATAAATATACCCCCACCGTAGCCAGGACAACAGAAGCAGAGCAGCAAAAAGTTTTAACATTGAGTGACTCAAAAATCTGGAGAAAACAGCTTCATAAAACCAATTCCTGTCCACAAACCAGGGGACACGGAGTCGCGGGATCCTCAGCCTCGGGTCTGCCCTTAAGACTGCCATCATCAATGCCTGCAAAAACTCGGTCAGCCACTCAACCAAGATTGGTTTGATGAGAATGATCAGGAACTCCAAGAACTGTTAAAACAGAAGCTCAAGGCATTTCTGAGTGTGAAACAATAACCACACTCGGAAGAGAAAAGGCAGGCCTACAGGCGACTGATGGCTGAGGTCCAACAACAAACCTGCGACATGAACAGGTGGTGGGTGGAGACAGTACTGGACAACGGATGGCCAATAACCATGAAATGCATGGTTTCTTCTGTGCTTTCACGACACATACGGATCAAACACTCCACTGCTAGCCAGGGACGGAGTGACTGTTATCAAAGATGAAGAAGCCATCAAACAATGCTGGGGCGGGGGTGGGGGGTCAGGTGGGGGCATTCTTCAGAGATCTCTTTAAACAGGGGTCTGTCGTCAATCCAAATGTCCTTGAACGCATCCCACAGTATGCTACACACCATGAGCTCAGCAACACCCCTGCCTTGCATGAAGTAGAGGAGGCCATCTGCCAGCTTAAGAGCATTAAGACTGCTGGAGCAGACGATGTCCCTGCTAAGGCATTGAAGTGCAGAGGCAAAGAGCTCTGCTGCAGCGACACACCCTTGTCTGCCTTGTCTGAAAGGAGGAGAGCATCCTGGGAAGCTTTAGATGCCACAGTCATGAGCACTTTCAATATAGGGAACAGGTCCGACAGTGGTAATTACTGGGGAATTTCCAGGCTGTCGATTGTTGGAAAAGTAATCGCCAAGGTCCTCCTCAACCATCTCCTCCCTGTGGCTGA